AGGTTTAATTTGTTATCATGTAAATATTCTGAAGCAGGCTGCCTTGTCGTTTTGGCCAGCCTTGTGCTATGTTGATAAGATTGATTTACTGCTTAAAATCACTTTACTTTATCCAATTTTTACTGAACTTTTTATGTAAAAAATAAAATCAATTAAAGAAAAAAAAAGAAAAAAGTCAACTTGGGGAAGAGGAAATGAGGGAGAAAACGTAAATCTGAAACAATGAATGAGTGAAAATTTAACTTTTCTGTAAACTTTTATTAAAATCACAATTAAAATTAGTATCAATTATTAAAAAAATTGAACACATCAGTTCATCTTTGTTTGTATTAGTAATTGTGCAGGTCCTAGATGCACATCAAGCAGATGAGAAAACTTGGCTTGGATTAGGCACAAGTTAGTCTCTAAGACTGACATCGTTGCTCTTTGGCACTCTATGTCCTTGACAGTAGATTTCCCCAATACACTCAATTTCCTGATTTCTAATTTCAATGTATTGATTGTGAGTCTGTACAAAATTAAATAGAAACCTCAGTCTTTTCTCCATCTATCATCATCTTTTCTATTGGTGTGGTGATAAGGATCTCTTTTTTCTTGATGTTGATGTGCAATCAAAGGTTGTAGTTCTTACCTCCTGCCTCAAATGTTTCAAGTCCTTCTCAATTTTGGCAAAAATAGGCTGTATCATCAGTATAACACAGGCTGTTGATGAGACTTCTTCCAACACAGGTGCCACAGTCTTTTTCATAAAGTCCAGCCTCTCAAAGGATCTGTTCCACATATAGACTGAGAAGGTGTGGAAAAAAGATATATACCTGATGCACTCCTTTCTTGATTTTGTACCATTCTTTTTTCTCTTGCTCTGTGGGTACAGAGGCTTCCTGGTCTAGGTGCAGGTTTCGCATGAGCACAGTCAAGTGTTCTGGAATTCCCATTCTTCTCAGTATTAATGCCAGTTTTTTGTGCTTGACATAGTCAAATGCTGCTGCATAGCTGACAAAACACAAATAGGCATCCTTCTAGTACTCTCTGCATTCAGCCAAGATCCATCTGACATAGGCAGAGATGACCCTAGTGCCATAACTTTTTCAAAATTCAGTTTCTATTTCTAGCAGTTTTATGTCAATAGGCTGTTCTAGTCATTCTTGGATAATCTTCAGCATGATTTTGAAGATTTTATTTTAGTTATTTTTTTCCTAATTTACACACTCTATTGATTCACCTGTTTTGAGAAGAGAAACATATTTACTTGTGTTTTATCTACTATGCATATGTATTTGACTGTGTGGATCATAACTAATTTTGGATAATATTGATAAGAATTGAACACTTTAACTGTGTTAAAGTGAAAGCTGTACTTAAACCAAGAAGCAGCAATTGGAAAACAGCAAGGAAATACTGTGTAGTTTCAAATCATGTAAGGTGTATCTTTTCACATACCTGCTTAATGATAATCACTGAGAAAATAATTTAAAAAGCTGGACTATATGAAGAAGTTGAAGTCACATCAGGATTGGAGCAAGTATCTTCATCAACCTACAATGTACAGATGACACATCTTTACTTCCATAAAATAAAGAGGTCTTATTGGAGAAGATTGAAGACTGTAGTTTTCAATGTTTACTTTATTTCAACTTCAAAAAAAGCAAAATATCCACAACTAAACCAATAAGCAACATAAAGTACAGAAAGATTGAAATTATCAAAGATTTCATCTTACTTATATCACCAACCAGTACCGTAGAATCAGCTACCAGAAATTCAAAAGATGAATTGCATTAGTCAAGTAGAACTTTTTAAATTCTTAAAAAAAAAAGTGAATGAATGGAATTCCAAAAATCTTTGTAAATGTTCATTAAAATTCATTTATAAATGAGATAATGGTAAAAAGAGAAAAAAGTCAGTTTAAAGACTGAATATACATGATTCAAGTCATTTTCAATTGCTTTAAATGCACATAAAGTTGGGAAAACTAACAAGAAATACTGAAGAAGAATTATTGTCTTTCATTTGTGAGGCTATTGAGCAATGCTGAAAATACTATGGACTTCCAAAATCACAGACAAATCTGTGTTGGATAAAGTGCAGCCAGAATGTTTCTTACAGACACAGAGAGTGAAACTTTTAACATCCTTTCAGTAGGTTGTTATGGGAGACCTGTCCCTAGTAAAGAACATTGTGTTTAGAAATGTGAAGGGTTAGAGAAAGAAAGGAAGACTTGGAATGAGATGGATTGATAGAGTGACTACAGCCATAAATATGAGCACAGTAGAGATTGTGATGATCGAGCTGGATTTGACAAGATTTTGAACTATTCTATGTATAATCAGTAAGAGAGTTAACTCCATAGTATCTAACAACAATAACATGTAGATTTAAGAGATTCAAAGTTTTTCACATTATGTAAGTAGTTTAAATACTATCATCTTGTATACACTTTGCTACTAACACTCAGTGAAAATATATTTTTATATTTTAGTACATATGCAAGTTCTGTCATCCTCTTCTTTCTCCTTCTCCTCCTCTTTACTGACCTCTGGTGGCCTAGTGGTAAGGAATTGCACTGCCAATTGAAAGACATAGTGATTTGAATCCACCAGCTCTTCCAGGGAAGAAAGTTGGGCAATATTCTACCTTGAGATTTACTGCCTCTGAAAACCCACTAGAGGTTAAGCTATGAGTCCGTTCTGGCTTGGATGCACATAACAAAAACTGACAATTTATTCCTTTAAAGTAATAATTTACTCACAGAAAATTTCCCCGATGGTTTTCAGAGGTTATAAATTTCCTGCAAGGAAATTTTCATCTTTCTCCCTTGAAGCAGCTGGAAAATCTAAAACACCCACTTTTGGGTTTGAAGAGCAGCTTTTTACTCACTAGGCCACCAGAGTTCCACATACAATGCACAATAGCTCTGAAATCTGGCCTATCCTGAGCCAATCTCACCATCTCTAATACACCTGACACCATTGATCCAGTCACTATGTAAATTCGTCTCATACAGGATCTTCCTGTCCTGAGCCACCCTTCTTAACATGGTGTCCTTCTCTAAGGACAGATCCCTCTGGGAAACATGTCCCAACTATGTGAAATGGAGCTTCAAAATCCTTGCATCCAAAGATGGCTTCACCCTCTCCAGAACAGATCTGTTTGTTCTCTTGACTGTTTATATAATGTTCAATAATATTCTCCAGCACTACAACTCAAAAGCATTGATTCTCCTCCTCCTCCTCCTCCTCCTCCTCTTTTTCTTCTTCTTCTTCTTCTTCTTCTTCTTCTTCTTCTTCTTCTTCTTCTTCTTCTTCTTCTTCTTCTTCCTTTCTCTCTCTCCTTGTCCAGCTTTCTGATGGATAGCAAGTAATTGTGTAAACCATGACCTAGGTTCGGCACATCTTAATACCTAAGTTTGACATCTTTAGTCTTCAACATTCTGGAGAGGTCTGTGACAGTAGACTTTGCTAATACAATTTGTTTTTTGACTGCTGATGCCAAGAGTATTGATTGTGGAAACAAGCAAGCTGAAATTGTTAGCATTCTCGATCTCTTCTCCATCTGTAATGATGCTGCCAGTTGGACCAGTGGTGAGAGACTTTGTTTTCTTGATGTTGAATTTCAATCCATTAGCACAGAAAAACATTTTGTTGGACTGTATGTCAACTCAAAGATTCAAACTAAACACCCTAGCTTATTTAATACTTTATCTATTTGGTTTTAAAGCTCATTATACAGAAATCATTCATCTCATTTGAATTATAAGCTTTCTACTGTATTTGTGTGTTAACCAGTCCAGTCTGATACTTTCCTAAGTGATAATTGTGAAACAGAACCACTGTACAGGAAAAAGGTTCATTTTATCTGGGATATGTTTCTCTTAGTTATTTTGCACAAATCCCCAGAAAGAATGCACTGTGTTTTTGTTTTTTCACTCCCTCAATTTCTTGTATCTTGAAGCTTGAGGAAAGCAGATTATTTAAATTTAAATAAACTTCCAGAATTGCAAATAATAATTAAATCCTACTTTGCTCAACATACTAGCAAGTACAAAGGAAATGATACAGAAAACATATATCAGCTGTTTTTGTAACTGAATGCATTTCATGCACATATTACAAGTAAGTTTAATGTCTTTTACCCTATAAAATTAAAGAAGCCTTTAACATGTTCCAAACTAATTACCTATCTCCTCCAGTCCATTTTCTATTTTAAGTCCTCAATCTTGTCAAGATTCTGTGGTTAACATAAATCAGTAACCAACACAAATGACTTTGGATAAAACAAATAGCTAACTTTTAAAAAAATGAATTCAAGAAGAGAGAAATTAGTATTTTCATTAAATCATGATTTGATTTCAAAGAGGTAATGTAAATGACAAAATAGTTGCAGTAAATTGATCACGTTCTTGTCTAATTACTCTTTGTTTTGTTGCTGGAAAAACACAACTGGCAACCATAAGGATGAGTAAAATAGTGTTTTAGATAACATCATGGTGATAACAGTTAAGCTTACTTTTCTTTTTGGAAGTGAAGTTAGTATTTTCAGCCTTTATAGTAAGTAAGGCATTATAAAAAGTCAACTGGAAATAGAGGTTCAGATCTCAAGAGGAAGGACAGGGCAGATTTTATAAAATTAGAAGTTATCATAGTAGAGATGATAGTTGAAAATATATAGTAGAGAAAAGTAAAGTAGAGAAAAGAGTTAGTCAAGGGGTGGTCTCTTGAATAACACCTATATTGGTAGAAAGAAGGACAAAGAAAATTCAGCAATTGAAACAGTAAAAAATGCAAGAAATTAAGTAGAAAATTAAAAATTTACACTGCAGAGTCAAAACTAAGAAAATGGAATTAATAATATGCCAGTCAATAGTGATGGATGATCTAGAAAATCTAATAACTAAGATAATTCAATGGTAATGTGTTTGTTTTATAATTAGAAAAGTTCAGTTATGGGACAACATCAAAGATATCATCCATGAAGAGAGCAAAAGGCAATTACAAAGACAGTAGAGGGAGAAAATCCCAAACCATATGTCAAAAGAGACCGTGAAATTTTCATTAAAGTATTGAAAAGCCAAAACAAAATCAAGAAATGTCAAAATAAAAACGCTGAACAGATTTCTAAAGGAAATTTGAGAATTTATTATAATGGAATATGAAAAGAGCTGAAGTTGAAGAATACAAAAGGAAGAATTCTCTCAGCGTTTCTAAAGTTTAAAGATCTGAGAAACAAATTCAAGCCACAAGCTGCATAGCTGAGAGATAATATGGGTAAATGAATGCTCTGAGAATCATCAAAAGAAAATGGAAGAAATACATACAGTCACTGTACCAAAAAGAAGTAATTTGTACTGAAAAGTTTTATGAAGTACCATATGAACAAGAGTCAATGGTAATGAAGGAAGACATTCAAGCTGCTCTGAAGGCACTGGCAAAATAGAAGGTCCCAGGAATCAGGACTAATTAATATGTTTCAACTAAGGAATGCAGCTCTGGATGTGCTCAGCAGTCTATGCCAGGATATTTAGAAGACAA